CTGCTATCTTTGTGGAGTACAGTGGATTTTACTGTAAAAAATACAGTTCTCTGATATATATATATTAAAAAAAAAAAAAAAAAAAAAAATCCAAATGGGGAAGCATATTGATAGGCTGCCCATAGATAAATTCCCTGTCCCCTCTCTTCAGATGAGCACGGTGATAATCTTTCTTATGCTCAGCTCATGTACACACAGAAAAATATTAAATTTCTTGCACTTTGAGTAGTTTTTAGCACAATAAAACCCATTTTTAGTACCCTATTTTACTTGGCTATCTGCAGAAAGAGAATTCTCAGGAGCCAAGATGCTCAGTTGCTTGAGCAGTGTAGGAGTTCACTTTTTCTAATATGAATACATAATGGACAAAATATGCTGTCCTTGACCTTTTTGGCTTACTCTTAACTGGTTTTGTTACAGACAAAATAACTAGTCAGTCTCCTACTCTTCAGACTGATTTTCTTGTTTTGAGTATGTAACACTCAAATTAGTGTTTCAGCACTGTCACTGTTTCCTCAGTGACTATAGGTTTTTCTGGGGTAGTTTTTTATATTTTGAAGTTGTTTTATATTTTAACAGTCATTAACATACATGCATGCCCACTCACCCTCACCCTCTCTCCAGCTTTGCTATCAAACATCAATGCATAGGTACACATATTTTTTCAGAAAGAGCACTTTAAAAGATTTAAATTTTTACATTTTAATATCATAATTACAAACCTAATACAAAAAGGGGTTGTGAGACATTTAAACATTTGTTTATAGATTTTACACTGAGGACTAGGTTAAGGGAATGGAATTACTAGTACCCTTCATGTCTGTGACATGTTTTTTTTTTTTCCTAAGGAGACATTGTTTTCTCAAAAGACTCTTTGTGCCTCTTTCATAATCTTTCATCCACCTGAAAGTATGAACAAAGCAAATCTCTCTTGCTCATATCTTTTGTTTGTAACATTTCCTCATACTCTGAGAAGACAAACTTGAATCTTATTTAGAAGTGCTTCATTCTTTGTTCTAGATGTTTTCTTTGTTTTAGAAGCTAGAAATGACTATATCTTCATTTAAACTATTTTTAAAAGGGTGCCCCTCATGTGGGATTGTCCTCATTATGTATAATTTTAACTGTGAACACAAGTGTAATTTAGCTGAATATTAGCGCTTCTGCTACCATTTCAGTGAAATCCTCTAAATCAGAAAGTAGAAGTTTGGAGTTTTTTCTTCAGTAAGGATTTTATTGTTTTGGGACATTTGACCAACATTTAGCCAAACATTTCATTGTTTGATAGTTATTTATCTACTCACATGCCATATATATGGTCTAAATCTTATGCCGTGTCATTTTCACATTTCTAGCATGACTTAGCAGTGGGTGTGGTGTTTTGGGAATTTTGGTGGGTTTGGTTTTTTGTTTGTGAGTATTGAGGGTAGAGGGGGTTGTTGATTTGGTTATTTTTGTTGGTTTGGATTTTCGGAAAAGTTGCTTTCTGTCCTATTTCAGTTCACTCTTACTGAAGTTGTAAAGCAAGGAGACAACTAACCTTATCACTCTGCTGGCCTGACACTTGGGGATCTACAGATCTATCTGTGATCTTCTACAGATGTGATTAACCTGTCTTTCTGGTTTTCTAGCCATCAGAACAGTTGATTCTATGAAGTATGTGTAATTTGGATAATCAAAAGGCTCTTCTGTGTGAAGGAAGAGAAGGGCAAACCGAAAGTGATTATATGATCTGTTCTTTTTGCATCTTGCATATTTTTTGCCACTTTCAACACTTATTACTAATGCTGCAGTAAAGTGTCTGCCACATGCTTGATGGCAAATATAAAAACACAGCTGTCTAAACAAATTAAGTTGCTTTAGAATTTTGGACCAAGGCACTGTTCAACTGGAAGGAATGGTATTTAACAGGAAAAAAGACGTGATAATGTCTGAAGAAGGATTGCTACCTCAGATAATATCTCAAAGGTCACTTTAGATAGTACAGGAAAAGTGCAGTGGTTTTTGCAATTTATAAGTTGCTGTTATACTGCCAACTCTAGAAATGTTACATAAACTATGATGAAGGTTAGCAGTCATTAAATACTTTAGTTAAAAAATTTCCTTTCCTAGAAGTAGAAATTTTTAAAACGTACCTCTACTGTATTTTACATGCATATTGAATAGTATAATAATTTTGTGGTTTACTAGTCCTTAATAATGTACCTATCTATAGCCTTAAATACAGTTCTAAGCAATGTAATAGCTATATTATGTCTAAGTGACAATATCGCCCTCTAGCGACAGTATGCTTTAACAAGTCTACATTTCTGTTATGAATTATACTCATTGAGAGATTGTGCACTATGAGTCTCTGACTCAGGGTTATGTTTCTTTCATAAAATTTATTTTCAGGCAATACTTTCTGTTCTGTCATAATCCCGTGTAAAGGTGCTTATATTTTTAAATTAACGTGGCCTTGGAAGCCAATTTGAAGTCTAGCACTTCCAGATTTCAAAACACAGTGTTTCAGTGTACTGGAGTTCCAATTTCCAAAACAGTCCAAAACAAAAGTTTTCAGCATTTAGTGATTTCTCCTTGAATTGAAATACAGTTGAATAGTTTATATAATTAAAAAAACCCCAAAGAACAGTTACCAGAAATTATACTCATAGTGTATTATCATAGTAGTATTATGCAAACTCCAGAACACCAGAGAATTAAAAAAACAGTGCTTTTATGTTGCTTAAAAATCGAACTCTTGAATTTACCATTGCATGGTGCCCTTTTTCTCTGGTTGACAGAGAAGTAGCAAACTAAATAGCATATGCAGAAGAAATAAAAAACAGTATGAGATTTGCAGCAAAGATGATTTTAAATTTTCTAATAAGAAAAGCAAGAAAACATAAAGTATCCTTCAATTCCAAAGAGGATCCAAGTAGTTCTAAATGTTTAAGAAGTCTGATCTACTTGGGTTGTGATCCATATAAGTGAGTGAAGAATTAAAATTCTAGATAGCTTTTCTAGAATATAAATTAACTATCCACTGTACTTCCATCTTCCTACAGTTACTTATGTAACCTGGGTTCTGTATATGCTAAGTTTATAAATAAAGACAGAATTTTTCTGTGGGCTTTCCCTAAAGCATGCTACTCTTGAACAGGTATACTTATATTTACCATCACAGTTGAGGGTAGGAGTTCCTCATCTACAGGATCATAGGATAATTCATGTTGAAAGGGAGGAGCACTGCTTTGCTTTGGTACATGCATATACATATATAAAATACTTGGAGTGAAAAAGGAATTAAACTAAATTGGAGTTCACACATCTACAAGTAAATTCAAAGCTTAAGTGGTAATGAATGTTAGTGCTTATAGGCAGATACTAAAAAAAAAGTCTAGTAGTTATGGGGGAATTTCAGTTACAGTCAGTGGCTAATGCTCTTCAAAACCAATTATATCTCTTCTTTAAGAAGTACTTTAAATTTAATAAATACAGTATGATACTTCTGCTAGCTGTAAAAATACTTATCTATGTAGTTTCCCCTACTGAATTTTAATTTTGGACTTCATCAATAACCAATGTTTTTTTCTACTGAAAGTTATGTAACTCTCAGAGCAGTTCTGGTCTGCCTCTGCCCACTGCTACTTTTTCAGTGACTGAGCGGCAGGGTGCCTTGGATATTTTGAGAAGGTAACTTCTGTCTCCCCTTACTTTGGATGTTGTTCTCACCCCCTGTAGAACCCTAGTTGTAGACCCTTATTCTCCCTGATTTTTAAATGCTCTCCCCATTTCCCGTATTCCAAACTAAATCATTGGGATTCGTTTTGAATTTTAGTGATACAAAATGCTTGGTGGACTTAAGGATTTACTGATCAAGGCTATTGATGGAGTACGTTTATATTTTCACTACTGCTGTACTTCATAGTTTAAGACTTACCAGTGTATAGTGCTGCAAGTGAGAATTCCATAAGCAAACCACAGAATGACATGGTACAAGCTCTATTAGAGTATACAGCTTGCATGTTCAGTTCTGGTCACACACATTGTTAACACTTTAGTGTGAAGCTTTATTTTTAAAGGTGGTGTTCAGGACCTAGGAGTTGCTTAAAATAAGCCTAACAGTACAATTTAAATGAATTTTGTGTGTGTTGTTTGTTGTTTTCTTCCTTATTTTCAAAAGTACTTTCTGGACTTTGGCAGTCCTTCTGTATATTATCTATATCTAACTCCCTCCTACTCTTTTTCATTTTGTAGTGTTCTTTCAGGTACTTTCAGATTATCTCTATTTGCCAAGTGAAATTCACAGTGTTTGTCAAGTTAGTTTCATTCATGTAGTATGTGACAAAAAAAAGAGAGAGAATATCAGTGTTCTTTATACTTAAGCTGTGATTTTTCACTGTAGTAGTTATTATTACAATACTGGGTCAGAACATTAATTATGTTGTTCATTAGGGTTTTATTCTAAAATGCCTCATAGAATAGCCTTGGGAAAAGTTTTTCTAAGTTCTGATTGACAAAAGAAGCTTGAATTATTTTCTTGTTTCAGCGAAAAGTGTCTTAAGTGCACATTTAAGTGTCACAGTCATAAGCACAAGCTTCCATTTGGTATATTGCATGTTAATATGAAAGAGTACTCAGGTAATGGAATAGTCTTTCTTCTTACAAATGCATTTTTAAGTCAGCCTGTACTACCTGTTCTTTTGATACTTTCATCAGTGCTCCAAGGTTAATAGCTACTTGCATTATAGTTTTTTTAGTTTGATAATTATTTCAGAAAAGGTGAAATGTGTCAAAAATATGTCTACTTCAATTTCTAATAAATCAATTGCCTGCAATAGAGCTTAATGAGTTCCTTGTGGCACTGGCTATACTTGAGCTACGTACTTCAAATGAGACATACAGTAAATAGTTTAGTTTTGTGATTTCTTTTATATCATATGTAATTCATGTCACACTTGCAGGTGCTGCTGCTTATTCAAGCGGAGGAAAAGGAAAACCATCCAGCGCAACAAATGACTAGAACCAAACAGAACATGAGAAAATGCTTATTTGTTCACCTGTTGTCTTGTGATCTTAAAAAAAACCCAACAACAAAACCCAAAGTAAAAACCTCCATAATAAATACATTTTCTGAGGACTCCCTGAGAAACAATATTTTGTCTCTATGCTTTGATTTGGTTCTTCTGCATCCATCTTCTGTTTTTTAATATATCTGTTCTGAAAGCTTTAAGATATTGTCAAATAGGAGTGCTTCTTTCATCAACATATGGACCAATGAAATGATACAAAATAACAGTATCTTGAGCTAAACTGAACTTGAGAACTATTTCTTCTTTCCTAGAAAGTAATAGCAGTGTCTTAGATGAAGATGGATGTTATTAATAAGTTATTTGAGTTTGTAGCAGTGTATCTAAAGCAGTTTTCTTCAAAAATTAAGAAGAAAAATACAGGTACACAACCATAATGTGAAATAATAAAACCTTAAGATTTATTTTATGACACTTGCATTGTTTTTCTTCTTTTTCCTCACTATTACTGGTTAGTCAAATTGTTACTCCAGTCAAATTACCACTGTCTAAAGATACTGGGGATGTTGGTTTAACTGTTGGCAGTTGTTAAAATGCTGGTGCTACTAACAGAAAGTATTTCCAGTATCTTTTCAATTTGCAGACCTGCTTTTATTTTGCCTACAATGAATATTGCAGTACAGTAGAAATTAGAAGAGTGTTTGTGCAAGAATACAAATGTTTATATAATTTAAATTTTACATCTAGTAATGTTACCAAGATCGAATTACCTTCAAAAGAGCTTTACAGAGCAAACATTGAATCTGGTTAAAGCAGAATAAGTATGAAAACCTATGTGTTCACTAAGGTAGTTGATGGTTGACAGCATCTTTAACATGAAAATATGGACATGCCATTTAAAGTTAGCAGTGTACTATTTTGCTCTTTAATTTAGGTAATAAATGCAATGTAAGTAAGTTAAACTTCTGCCTTCACTGCATACTAGCCCAGAGCATCCCAAATATCCTGCCTTTTTTTTTCCTGTAATTTTCTTGTCTTGCAGTGTAAGGTCACTAGTATCATAGGGTAGCAAAGATGTGTCAGATGCTTCTCTACAGTCCGATGAAGTGCTTGCAATATGAACAGACCAACAGTTCTGTAGGCAAGACAGCTCATTTTGTATTTTCTTCTTCAGAAGATATATGCTTCTTTTAAAGCCATAGTGACTGTTTTGGTTTTTTTCATGTTTAACTGCCATTTATTAAAGAAGGGCTGTAGAAGGTGAAGTGACTAGACAGATTTATTGACCAAAACACAGATTATCTCTGTTTCTTTAGAATTCTTGTGGAGCTAAGTAGCGTATTTTTTTCTGTCCATAAATGTCTTTTGGCATGCTTATTTATTTTTCTTCTGTTTTGTGGTAGCATTTAAAATATGTATAAAAGCAAAGGTACACCTCTGAATTAGTCATTGCATTTACAAGGATTTAAATTTTATTTTGTAATTTATTTTTCATTAAGAATCAAAAGTGTATTTTATGGTTTGGATTATGTGCTCATATGTATACTTTGATCTTTGTCATTATTACTGCTCTTACGTTTTTGTTTTAGAAAACCTGAATTTGGCCTACAAAAACACACTGTGTGACAGATCATAAGTTTTCACTTCACCAGAGTGTGTTACTGGTTATTTCAGACTCATAAAGTTATTTCTTCGTTTTTGTTTGAGCTGAGAAGTAGGTCACTTGACCATTCTCTTATGAAAACACATCCTTCTTTTTAGTACTTGTCCAAATATTTTGCTTATACATGTGGTATGTGTATTTCTCACACACCTGATGAGTTTTATTCTTGGAGGTTTTTAGTCTCTACTGTGTTTGTATGATCTGAACTCCATAACAAGACAGTGTGAATATTATTGACTTATAATGATTGAATATATAAAAGCTATTTATTTGGTGAAATTATTTGCAAGGCACTTGCTTTTCAGAAATTGAAGTGCTTGATTTTAATGTGGAAGAAGGTTTTCTTCTAGTAAAGCAATTTGCACTAATGTAGATATGCCAATATTATTTGCATTTATATACTTTTATTTTCTGTCTACAGTAATGAAGTAAACAATGACTGGATGTCTAAAACTGAAATACACCCCTCTTTAAATGTTTAAAAAAATATAGTTTTTTAAAATTTGCCTTCCCCCCCCTTTCCTACAGTTTTAGACAAAGTAATGTTTTAGGATGTGCTGAACAAATTTAATCTCTTTGGATGAAATTTGAATTCAATGAATTTTGAAGCATGATTCTCCTAATGCTATCTTGACTTACCATTATGTATGCTTACTTAACAGATGTTACTGTTACATGCTTTAATAGACCTGATAACAGCAATGGAGTGAGGAGACCTCAATGCACACATTTGAAATCTATTAATGGATTGAAGTTTATGCTGTCTATGCCACCTTAAAAAATACCTAAAGAGGTCTAGGAAATGCATGAAAAGGACATGTTTTGGGTTAAAAGAGGCCCTTAAAAACATCTAGTCCAAACACAAAACACTGCTACACCCTCCTAATGTAAGTGTGGAAATGTTTCACTGGATCAGGTTGCTCAGAATCCCATCCAACCTGACTTTGAGTATTTCCAAGGATTGAGTATCCACAGCTTCTTCAGGCTACTTGCTCCAGTTGCCTGTCTGACCACCTCCATGGAAAAAAAGGTCTTCCATCCAGTCTAAGTCTACCCTCTCTGAGTTTAAGTTCTTGTTCTGTCACAGGCCTTGGTAAAAAGTCTCCATGTTGCAAGTATTGAAAGCCCACGGTTAGGTATTGCCAGAATAATATTTTCTCCAGGCTGGAAAAACCTAATATTCAGCCTTTCCTTATAGGAGGGATGTTCTCATCCTCTCATGATTTTTGTTGCCTTCTCTGGGCCTTCTCTAACAGATTGCAAGTGTTTCTCATGCTGGGGACCCCAGAGCTGGACATAGCACTGCAGTAGGATCTCACTAGAGCAGAGCAGAGGGGCAGAATCCCCTCACTCACCCTTCCTGCCCATGCTGCTTTGGATGTAGTCTAGGACACAGCTGACTTTCTGGCTGAGTGCACATTGCTGTGTTATGTCTAATTTTTCATTTATCAGTATCCCCAAGTCCTTCTCTGGTCTAAAACTCTTCATCCACCAGGCTGTACTTAGAGTGGTGGTTGCCCTGGGCCAATTGTAGGATGTTTAAATTGTCCTTGCTGTCCTTCAGAAAGTTTGCATGGGTGCACTCCAAAAGTTTGTCAAAATCCTAAAGTACATAGAAGGTTGCTTTTGATAAAGGTCCACTCCTAGGTTTGTTGTTTGCATCTAAAGATAGTCTGATGGGTGAAGTGAAGATTTGTAGCTGTTTTGGTCACAATTGATTATGAAGATATTAAGTTCAAGATAACTTGCACTATGAAAAAAAATATGAGCAGAGCTACTACCCAGGATTATGGAAGAGCAGGCTTCTTGCTTTGTTTGGTCTGGTTTGTTTATTTTTTTGTTTGTCTGGGTGTTTGGGTCCAGGCATCCAGTGGACTTGTGTACAGAGAAAGGCCGCTGAGTGATGTGGTGGTTGAAGGCTGTCTTGGGCACAGAGATCACAAAATGATAGAGTTTTTTGTTTTCAGAGAAGTGAGGCAGATCATCATGACTGCCATCTTGGACTTTTGGAAGATAAACCGTGGCCTTTCAGCTTTATATCAGAGCAGACTTTGTATAGTATGGAATATTCATTTGGTCAGTTTGGGTCAGTTGTCTTGTTCATGTCCCCTCCCCTGGTTTGCCCAGCCCCAGCCTGCAGGTGGTAGAGGTGCAGAATCTTGGGGGGACAGTGCTGATGCTGGGCCAGAGCTGCTCAGAGGTAGCCAAAACACTATGCTGTTACCAGCAACACAGCAGCTACTGACACACAGCACAGAAAGTGAGGGCTGCTGTGAGGAAAAGAACCCATCCCAGCCAGTCACAATACAAGTAAACATGATAGTCATCTGCAAGAAGAAGAAGATCCAGGGAACCAACAGGTCTGTCAGCTTGACCTCAGTGTTGGGGAAGATCATGGAGCAAATAATTTTGATTGCCATCACATGGCAATCACATACAGGATGAGTAGGGGATTGGGCCCAGCCAACAGAAGTTTACAAAAGGCAAGTCCTGCTAAACCCACATGGTCTCCTTTTTTGGCAAGGTGATCTTAGTGGATGAGGGAAAGACTGGATGTTATCTGCCTGGGCTGTAGTGCCTTTGACATGATTTCCCCTAGCATTCTGCTGGAGAAATTTGCCACTCATGGTTTGGAATTGTGCACTCCTCACTGGGTAAAAAAACTGGCTGTGTGGTTGAGCCCAGAGTGTGGAGCATGGAGTTACATTCAGTTGGCAGCTGGTCTTACCTGTGATCTGGACCAGGGCATTGTGTGTAACCTCAATAAGTTTACAGATGACACTACATTGCGCAGGAATGTAGATCTGCTGGAGAGCAGGAAGGTCCTGCAGAGACTAGACAGGCTGGATCAGTGGGCTGAAATTAGTTGAATGAAACCTCAAGGCTGAGTGCTGAGTCCTGTCATTACAATAATCCCAGGCAGAACTACATGCTGGGGAAAGAGTGGCTGGAAAGGTGCTCAGCAGAAAAGAACCTAAGGGTGCTGGTTGACAGCAGCTAAACAGAAGCCAGCTGTACCCTGAAGAAGGCATCCTGCACTGTATCAAAAACGGTGTGGCCAGTAGGAGCAGGGATAATCCCAGCAGGATAGTCCCACTATACAGGGTGCTGGTGAGACCATACCTCAAGTCCTGTGTTCCCAGAATAGAAAAGACATCGAAGTGCTGGAGGCAGTCCAGAGAAGGGCAGCAGAGCTGGGGAAGGGTCTGGAGTACAAGTCTTGTGCAGAGTGGCTGAGGCAGCTGGTGGAGTTTAACCTGGAAAACAAGGCTCAGGGGGGACTTTGAGGGTGTAGCCATGTGGGGATCAATGTCTTCTCCAAAGAAACAAATGACAGGACAAGAAGAAATGGCCTAATACGGCTGCAGGAGAAATTTAGATTGGATATTGGGGAAAGATTTCTTCTTTAAAGGGGTTCTCAAGCATTGTAACAGGCTGCCCAGGGAATGGTAGAGTCGCCATCCCCGGAGGTTAATAAAACATGTAGATGTGGTTCTTCAGTACCTGGTTTAGTGGTGGGCTTGGCAGTGCTGAAAGCACTTGGGTTCGATGATCCTTAAGGGCTTTTGAAACAGCATTCTGTATGAATGGTAGGAATGCACTATTATACTGTATTTGAAGTGCACAGTGTGCTGGCATTGACTGGCCATTGCTTGGACATGAAGAGCCATAGATGACCAGTTACCTTTCTGTGGTTCAGTTTGAGACAGCATAGCTGCAAAATATTTATTTGGTTTTTGAGGCAGTTGTCTGTGGGTGACTATGTAAACCCCCACTTATTTTGACAGCTGGGGCATGGGTTTCTAAATGA